TTCATTAAATTCATACAGCTTTTAAGAAAAGAAGATATTCTTTATTTTCTTTTCTATGACAAATATGCCCCTCTTGATTTTTAGTTAAATAACTTTTTCACCCCTCCCAACCGCTTCCATTCTGTTTCTTCTCATTTCCTCCTCCTCACAGCAACCTCCACAGCAGCAAACCAGAAAAGCTTTAAATATCAAAGAAAGATATATTCAACAAAAGGTCAATACACATCAACAAATGGTAATCCTTGAAATGAATTTAAAATTTTCAAACAATATCATGTTCTAGTGATACGCATACTATGCCATGGATATTGAAATGGAAATCTCCAAAATCAGAAAATCCAGATTATTTGAACAAAAACTGAATACTCAAAAATTTTTTTTTTATAACAAAGATTACATCCCAAGAAGTGTTACAGGGCTTTGGTTCCTCTTAAATTAAAAATGAAGAAATTTTTTTTAAAAAAATCCTCATATACCCAAGAGTAACTGGAATTATATAATTTTGGTGGCTTTGGAGACATATCCTCCCAAAAGCGAATTCATTTTTCTCAAACACTTCGGAACCCTCGGATCCGAATAAAAAAATTTCCCTAGTTTTCTAACCTTATTAACATAAACTTTACCTCAAAACACATTAAATCCGCAAAAGAAAGTAAGGAAGAAGAAGGAACCCAGGAACCCACAATTCTTTAAAACGAAAATAAAAGTAGAAATTCGCAAAAAGAAGATGAAAATGTTGGAAGGAAATCCTCACTGTCCCTACCTGGCTACACCTCACCTTCGCTACCGCGATCTCTAGCTGGTAAATCGTAGTTGTACAATTATCTGTTGGTGAAACAACTTTGGTAAATAATTTTAGGGTTTGTGGCTACTTTGTGCACGAGTTTCAGAGGGGAAGGGGGAACGGGGAAAGAGGTAGTAGAGAAGGAAGAAGGGTACGGTTGGGGATTCTTTATCAGTAAATCTGTAATTTTCTAAGTTTAAGTGAGGCATTCTAGTCATAAAGAAAAATGGTAGGATCCACTCTTGATTATGGTAAAATTTACTGCAATATACTGTAATTAATGGGTATCATGACCCATGGTAGACAAATTCTAAAATTAGTTGTTTATTCTTATTTTAGGTTTCTTTAATTTTTGTCTCTAACATGGATACTAAGGATAAGAAAAAGTGTATATCAATTTTAATTTTTAAAAATAATTAGAGTTTTAATGTAGTTTTATTTAATTAAAATTTAAAAAATTATTTTATTAAATGTTAATATATTAAAATAAATAAT